AAATTGCAAGACATTTTTTTTTCCTGGAGTTGAGACACCCTTTATTACACATACTGGACTGTTCAGTGTGCATGTGTATTCCTGATAATCCTACACTGAATTAAGTATATTTAAAACCATTCAAGTAATAACCGTAAGGTTTAAGTATTAATGCTGTAAAAAACATGTCATTACTACAGTAATTTCCAAGATTCATCACTGCAAAATTATTTCTGTTGGTGCTTGTCAGGCCTTCAATATTTGTCTCCATGGTTTTTTTTTATATTCTTCAGAATATAAATCAGATTACAGTAATTTAATAAGACTTTTTTTGGTTTTTTTCTTACTGGGTAAGATATTTTGCTTTGGTATTGTGACCAGAATTTGTCCTGTGCATATTCTGTTTGGAAAATTTATTTTCTTTTTTGCATGATGATATACAATGGCCAAAAAAAGTTGTAATGTCATGTAATGTCATGTATTGTCATGATTTTAGAACATTGAAAATTCTTTTTAGCAACACTGTACTGTTTTAACAGTGCTTTGAAAGAAGAAGACCCTGAAAGCTTCTTTCAAGAAAATTTTAAATTCAAATCCCACAGAATCAGGATATTGAATAACCATGTAAATTTATTCAATGGTAAGGCAATTCAGAGATTATGATTTAAAGAAAAAACTGTGGAGGAAGAATAGAAATAAATATTTTTGACACTCCAGTGAACAGAGATAAGAAATATTCTGAAAAAGATTGTATAAGCTGTGAAAAAAATTACGTTGGCAACCTTGCATTATTTTAGCTTGGCAAAAGAACTCGTAATTCTTCCACCTCTGAGAAATGTTTCCGTGTGTGATTTGAGGAGGGGGGGGGGGACGAATTCAAGTCAAGTAGAACATTTTATTGCTTCCTCCATGTTTGATTCATGGACCATCAGGAAAGTCGCCAAAGAGGGAATAAATAAATAATAAAAGGACAAGAAAAAAAATCGAAATTACGAAACCCCCCTGGAAGGAAAATGCGAGAACTCTGGAAACCATATTTCTATTCATGTGTACCACAACAGGTAAAGAATACTCGTGATTTGTGACTGGAAAATCGAGCTTCCGCCGGACGCCGTAAAAGTGACCGATGTTGCGGCTCGAATCAAAACTCCCCCATTTTCACAAAAAAATACGAAAAATTCAACGATATAAAATATTCGAAGGTTTAAAAAAATAAATTAAAAAATTTAAAACTGAAGAAAAATCGCTGGAACAGTTTTCATTGTCCGGAGACCTTCAAATTTATGATTCATGCATAAGAAAGTACAGTAAATTACTGTATTTGTATTCGTATTCAAACTCAATTTTCATGCGCTTCACCAAACAAGTAAAAAAGGAAAACTTTTATTTTGATTGAAATTCAAAAAAGTGAGGCCTGTTTTCTGTTTGAAAAATTTTGGATAGGGTGTTTCACATTTTTTTTCAATAAAATACAGTATACCAAAAAATATTTTTACAGCTGTATGTTGAGAAAAAGAATGATTGGGAATTTTCAATAACTGTTGCATCCTTAGCAAGTTGAATAGAGAGTCACAAATACTTGAGTTTGTCAAGTTGAATGTTTTACTTTGATATACTGTAGTTTCTTGTCTGAAATGTATCACGTCTGTCAAGGTTGATAAAAATTTGAGATTGTAATGCTGATAAATGTATTCTCAATTGATTTCATCTACAATGAGATTCTTCTTGTTTGGAGGATTTCGTTCTTTACCAAGACAATTTTTATGAAATGTTATAAAATATAGAATAAAAATATATTCTTTGAAGTTCCTTTTTTCTCCTGTGTGAAATTTTAGTCAACTTGCAAAGAAAATTACTGCTGCTCTTTTTTTTTGGTACCATAACAACTATTTTGTGAATAAGAGTCAGACCAGCTGGAAATGTATGTGCAAAAAAATGTCTTTAGAATTGTTTGCATATCTGGTGATATTTTTTATTCATGCCATCTATCTGAATGTGTCCTGGATTGGATTGTGGAAATGCTCCACTGGTTCTTCTATGCAATGCTGAAGAGACTAGTCAATTTTTATGTACTGTACTGTGTAACTGCATTTAATATCAAAAGTAAATCAAATGGGGGGTTGCAGTACTGTATTTTATTTGTTCAGCACTTCAACTGCATCAAAAGAAACAAAATACTGTACTTCATACAAATTTTCCATCACATTTTTGTATGGCCAATGCATGTGTAATGTCTGCTCTAGATTTTATTTCAAATAAGTGGGCATGATGTTCCTTTGAAGTGCATAATCTGTTCTTGAGTTATACACTGTTGAATTATTTCTTCATTGTTGCACTCCAGATCATTTTTCCAAGGTAATCAATGTATTTTGTCTGTCATTGATCCCTTGTCATGCATTTCAAGTAATGTACAGCATAGTAAATATATTTGTTATTTTGTACAGTACTTCCATTCTTGCTTCTAGTTAGCAGCAATTTGTTGGATATACCCTAAATGTGCTCATACAGTGGAATGAACAAATCTTATTTCTTAGATTACAAAAATCTTAATATTACAATAATTTATTTTACTCAGTGTATGAATTGGAAAACGAAGTAGATTATTTCAACTGGTGCAGCATATCAAGTTGGAACTGAACCGCATATAGCACTTGAAAATATTCAAAGCACTTTCAAATCTATAACTGTACCAACATGGTTTCTTGGACAACATTGATTGAATGAGTTTCATTTTGTTGAAAAGCTTGCTGAACCTGATGCTTTCATTGCAGGGAAGAGGAGGAGGCAGATGGCAAGGCTGGTCAAGAGTTGAGCAACCCGTACCCCTCTCTTGCAACTTCAGGGTTTCTCCCCCTGTGTGATGGATGATGCCCTGCCTGGGACAGGTGAGATTTCAGTGTCCGTTTGATGATGGATGGACAGACAGAACCTGACTCTAGATTTGATTGATGGCTTCTCAAGTGGTGAGGAATAATAATAAAAGAAAAGAACCGAATATTCCATCCGTCTTTTTCCCCTAGTATATATTTCAACCACGGAAACCTTTTCTTTTTCTTTCTGTAATACAACAAAGCCCAAAAAACGTGTTTCTCATCAGCAAAACACACTTCATCAAAACAAAAATAAAATTTTCCTGCTATTTGAGATTCAGACAGACACATATAGACTCCCTTTAACTTCATGTGTAGTCTTTTTTTATTTTTTCAAAAAGTTTTTGTATCACATCATATCTCTCTACCCTCCAACAAGAGAGAAGAGAGTTTACAACACCTTTTCTTTTNCCTGCGATCCAGTTGCACACGTACGGGGGCTTGTGTTGATCACAGTGCTGGCAACCCGGTCCGAGGCACTTTGACGGTGGAGTCCTGAAATGATTGAATGTAAGTAAAATTATCTGACTACAGGTGATTGATGGCTTCTCTAATAATTAATTATTAATTTAATTTTAAATTAATTTTATATTTTAAAAAATAAACTTCATTTGATAAGACTCCAAATGGAGATATAATAATACCATGTACTGTACTATTTATTTTATCCCATTGAAAATACCATGATACTTATTCTTGTGAAAAAAATTTGAGAATAAAATTTGATTCCAACATTATTCCAATGATTATTCTACAGTATTTTCATATCATCTAGTACAATTGTATATTTTAGATTATCAAAATACTGAATAAATGATTATTATATTGGCAGTGGAGTGGAATAGTGTATTTAATTGTACATTATTCCTATATTCATTATATTTAATTAATAATGAATGATAAGAATGTAATATGAATATATGTTGTATTAGGAGGATACCAATAATAATGTACAAATATTTTCTATACAATATACTGAAATATATATACAATCTGACAATGTATCCTTATTATATTACAGGTGTCTCCGTGCAAATTTCGCTCGGAGAGGAAGACGAAGACTTGACTTGAGTATCAAGATGTTGGATCCCACGCCCTGGATCTGGTTTGCAGTACTGACCGAACGAGGGTAGACAAGAAACCCTACAGTATACTATTGAAAAGAAACCAGGGTAGACGAGAAACCCTTCCCCCTCCCAAACGAGGGTACAAGAAACCCTACGAAGGGTAGACAAGAAACCCTACCCCGCCGAAAAACTTTTTCCCGAAACAAGGGTAGACATGAAACCCTTTCCCCGCCCTACTTCTCCCATTCATTGGCGGCAGCATTGGCGAGAGGGTCACCTCTCGCCAATGATTCTGTCTGTGGATGGGAGGGTTCACTCACCCAAAAAATGACCCCCCATTCATTGACGGCCAAATGACGTGAGATCATTCATGATCGATTGATTGTGTACCTTTCGTCATTGAAACTGTCCGTGAATGGGGTTTTTTTTTTTTGGGTGGGTGGAAAAAATTTCTTGAGTGCTTACCCATTTTATGATATCAATTTCTTTACCGTAAAGTCAGTGCTGGAAAAGTTGATATTGTTCATTTTATTGATATTTTATTCACGTATTTTTTATGGTCACTTTTTTAAAGGTGGTTTTCATGTGTATAATAAATTATGATGAATATTGTAATTAATAATGCGTTTTTAATCCAGAAATACACATTTTTCACATTTTTGAATGTGAATTTGTGTAAAATTAGCAAGTAAAGCCGAATAAAAAGTTGGACCTTATTTATACAAGAAGGATTATTTTCAAAGATGTGGGAGGGCCTGTGCTTGTTATAGATATTATGATACTGTATTATATGTTACAACATACCTTTCATGTGTGAGAACTATGCATAATGCACTGAGTATAATTTTTTATAAACCTGATCTTGTGACTCAAGAAAAGTACCATATTTAGAAATGCTAAGACAAAAAAATAAACCTTCAATACAAGACTCACATTTCATAAGCAATGGTTTTGCTCATTTCAACTTAAAGTCAGTGAAATGAATGAATGAAGAATATATAATGTGGTATATATAATAATATTATATATAGTAATATTATATATACATTATATTTCTGCAGGCCATAAAAATGGCATGTGTAACTTACGTTGAAGGCATGACAGGACTGGGCACAGTCTGCTGACACTGTCCCACACAAAAGGGGTCCCTGCAGTTGCTCAACTGATGGTGCACAGTCATGTAGGGCCTGTAGGCATTGGCCAGGGCTGCTGCATGGTTATTCACAGCTGCTGCTGCTGCAGCTCCACCACCAAACAAGTGTGGGTAGTAGAAAGGTGCAGACCTCAAGAGTGCAGCAGGGTCATATCCCAAACTTGGGTAGCCTTGTGCTTGACTTTGTGCATACATTTGTGACTGGGCAAATGGGTATGATCCAAAGCCGTGACTTGCTGCAGCTGCTGCCATCTGTCCTTGTAACACTTCCACTCCTGACCTGAATGATACATTCAAAAAGAGGAACCCCATTAATTTTAATATAATTCATTATAATTAATATTTAACATTTTTAAAATCACATTTTGAAATGCTGAGAGAAAATACCTAATAAACTCAATGGTTTTGCTAATTTCAAATATGAAGCTGTTTTATCACAAGGTTAGGAGACTTAGGATATAAAATTTGACAAAGAAGGTTATCATTTGACACTGGAGATTTGAATACATGTCACTTCTCAATTTAAAAATTTGACAACTCAAGTCAGTTTTGGGCATCTAAAAACCTTAAATTCAGATATCACTACTGAATGTGAACTTTAGTTGCTAATCACTTGGAAAAACTCTCCCTCAACAGACTAAGAATAAGAGGAAAAAAGAGGGCGCCACCAACCTGATGATTGGATGAACAGTCTGCGCAGGAGATGAACTGCTGCTGTTGTTGGACACAGGCACTTCAGACAAGGACTTGTGCTTGAGTCCATCATCACTCTTGCTCAACTCAGACGCACTGAACCGCTTGTGGGACCCACTGTCACCACCACCTGCACCACTGGCGGGACCACCAACACCCCCGGCTCCACCGTTGAGCACCATTTTCCCGTTCATCAGGGTTGCCACATGCGACGTGGATGCTGACACGGGTCTGTCGGGTGACCTGGAATCTGCCCGGGAAATGGACGAGTTGGTGGATGACCTGCCCTCGGGGTTCTTGGATGATGATGACGAGGAGGAAGAGGATGACGTCAGCGAAGGACTTGACCTCTGTGTGAAATTCGAATAAAAATCATCAAATCTCTCGATTAGCAATTAAAATTTTCCCCCAAAAAAAGTCTTGGCAAATAAATAAGAAATAAATAAATTAGAATTTATGAATTGTACTTCCTTGTAATGTTTCTTGTTGGATTAAGAAGAGGGCATTACTAGTCAAATCATGAAAACAGTTTCAAAACTGAGAAAAAATAAAAAGGGTCCAGTGGAGAAATGGATTTGAAAAGAGAAATCACAAATTTTGAGAAGTTTGAATTTTAGGTGCAAGCACACTTTGATTCCAGAGAGTCTCTGGAAATATATGAAAATGTACTAAATATATTTCAAGGGATCTCATGGCAAACCTTTGGTTAATGAAGTATATAATTATTACACCCAGAGGAATTTAATGTGGAACTACAATTTAATCATAAATGGCAATATATTTGATCTGGAAACTTGAGGCATTATCAAAAAAAGTTCTGCTCTGAAATTAAGAGTGTAAGACTTTTCATGGAAGACATGACTTCACTAGGATCTAGGATTTTAAAATGGTACCTCTGACAACTTGAGACTGATTCAGATTTATATGCAAAATTAAAGTGGGCCTGTATTTGGATTAAATATTGTTCTCACATTAACTCATTTTCAGAATGCAGTAGAGTGGATTGCTGAAAATATAGTTTGAACAATGATCTGAAAGGAAGGTAAGAGAGTATTTGATTTTTTGACAGCATTTCATGCCATCCAAAACATTTGCTACTTGATTTAAACTGAGTTAAACAAGACTTTTCTGCCATGCTTTGAAGCAAGTACTGCACAGTACTTTGATTTGTAGTCAGTATATGAGATGTGTCACTTCAGATTGATGTGTATGCCACAGATGGATATGTTTCAGTGCATCATGAACATAAGGTACTGAATTGAATATGTTTCAGAAAAGCTTACATATTTAATCTCAGATACTTTTCATACAATGTCAGCAAACCTTATGCCAAATAAAACACAGACCTTATTTCATAAGAAAATCACAAAATGTTTTAAATTAAAAACCTTTTTTGAATGATCAGAGCAAAACATGCATTTTGAAAAGATTAGTAGACATAGATACTTGAATAACATACTGGATTAATCAATCTTCAGCAATTTTTTTTCATTAGAAAATCAGAATTGAATACATTTTCAGATGCATTATCATTTTTAAAAGGATCTCATTGCATTCCATATGAAAAACCATACATAATCTCAACATTTGTTCTCAACAAAAAATCTATCTATGATTTTTTGTTGAGAATGTACTACAGTATGTTTACATACTGGATTATCATTTTCATGTGCATTATTATTTTAAAAGGATCTCTTTGCATTTCTTGAGTAAACCCATACATAATCTCATTAATGTTTTTCAACATACCTTGACACAGGTCTTGCATCAGAAAATCATAATTAATAAAAGTAATTCATAAGAAAAGTAGACATATATAAATATAATTGAATAACATACTGGATTAATTAATTTCCAACAAAGCTTTTTTGGAGCTATAGACCTTGATTTTTTTTTTCAAACAATCCATCAGAAATGAAATCATTTTCATATGCATTATTATTTTCAAAAGGATTCCCTTTACATTTACATGAGAAAAACCATGCATAAAAACTTTTGTGGTACAGTATGTGTTTTCAACATACCTTATGCTTGGTGTGATCAGAGACACACAGGGAAGGAGATTTGTTGCCAAGTTTGCCATATGATGCGTCAT